GTTTTCCGATAACAACAAAATCAATTTGAACTGGGCCAAATATGATTTTTTTGATCATTGCCATTCATCAAATGGCAAAAGCAAGATCAACGAGCTTTTAAACACTTTAACACTCTGCAACGAAGTTCATAACTTCTTTTAGTAATAAGATTTGAAAAGAATCCGAATTCCTTGAAAACATTACAGATGAACATTTCCTTGTTTCAAGGATATCTATAACCGTTGAACCGTTGAGGAAGTGACGATTTCAACGGAGTAATCTCATTGGTTCAGACTCTGTTTAAACTATGTATAAGTGATCTTATTGGTTGAAATATACGTCAGTATATTTGCAAATTTCCCTGCTCTTTTCAAGAGTTCACTGATTCACCTGGTCATTGAGCTATCTTTGTGCCAAAACCTTTGATTTTTTAAGCCTTTAAAAGTTTAATAAACGTTGAAATATCAGTTAAAACGGATGGGCAACTTAAAAAAGTTTGAAGAATACTACAGTTCGACGTTTTAATAAAGGTATGTGCGTTTAATTCATCCAAATATTTGATATGGCGTACACAACGCCGGCAACACAATTTATTATAGTACACAAGCTAGCCTTTTAAAACTATATAGTTTTTAAAATATTTGTTGAATTTATTGCTTTTTATAAACATTGAACTGTTAGTTTCTGTGGATATTTATCAAAATCGAAACTTTGCCGGTTTTTTGTATTCAATAATTCAAATATTTTAATGACGAGTAGGTGTGCGGTAAAGTGCAAAATTTCCTATTTTTAATATCTGTGCGTATGTTTTTATCATGCTCTGATTAGAAATAATAATATATATTTACGTATTATGGTAATAAAGTATTTGTACATTACTTATTTGACATTAGACTTGGATGGCAAGCAAGACCCTCGCCACAGCAGACAGGATGGAGTTTCCTCAACGTATTTGCAAACCAGTTTCCTCAAAAATATTTGCATATTTTTTAAAGTAACTGATTCCTGAAGCCATTGTATATTATACTTTATAGGAATTTGATTATCAAACTGGAGCTAAACTGAGGTATTGGCCGGAAAGTCGTATCAAACAAAGTGAATTATAGGAAAGAGGTGCAGCTAGCTGTTGATTCTTGGGATGACGAAGTCAATTCAACAAGTGACTGAAATACTGGTATTATACAAGAATATTCATGCACCAGTTAATTTTTACCATATGAATGCAAAGAAACTTTTCTTACGAACTGATTATTAGGCTATATACTCAGAAAGGAAAATACATATGTTCTTGTACTGAGCCTTTAGTAATCTTGGTACTTCAAATGTGAAGTTTGTATTTAATTGCTAACCTTTGAATTTGTTTTTAGAATAATATGATTTTTACATCAAACTTTGTGTTGTTTGTTCTTTGTTTCACAATCTCCGGGAAAACACGCGTGTTTTAAAGCGAGATTTAATGCGCGGCCATGTTTGCAGCAAGCTTGTCGCGACAAGCTTGTAACGGCCTTGTTATAACAAGCTTGGAACAGCTCAAGTTCAACAAGCTTGTAGCAAGTTGTTGTCAGACTTGTAGCAAGCTTGTTGGCAACAACCTTGGTACAGCATTGTCACAACAAACTTGCTACAAGTCTGACAACAACTTGCTACACGTCCGTCACAACAACTTGGGACAAGCGGTGCGAATAAATCTTGCAACAAGCTTGTTGAAACGAGCTTGCGACAAGCTTGCTGCAGGCTTGTTACAACTCGTGCGTTTTTACGTGTGTAACCGGGCTCATGTAAACAGCCCCTTAAAGCTATTGACTCGGCGGGTTCACCCCCTCCTGATTTATGAAATTCACTTAATTTTCTGTATTAAAGTGAATCAAAAGAACCAAAGGCGCTAAATTTCGCTTGAACTATGAAAAAAATTCATACCTAAAAATCTTTCTTTTATATATTTGTTATTTTTTTATAAGCAGGTTGCATTGCCTTAAGATCTGGGTCACGTGATGAAGGTCACTGAAAGGTCAGATACCAGTCATTGCTTAGATTTATGTAATTTTATAAGTAAAACGCGTTTCGAATGTATACGAAAGCATTTTAAAGCTACGGTATGGATGGATATTTTCTTCGAGACGAAGACATAATTGGAGTTGGCTCTGAAAACTATAAACCGTTTGATCTCGAAGATTGGAAAGTTTCACCAGCGACAGATTTTCCACTCGAATCCCCTGAATTTAATTTTACAACTGAAAATTTGATTGATAGAGTCGTGAAGGAAGAAAGCGATCTCGGTGATTCCGAGAGATGGTTTTCTGTTTTAAATTCTAAAGGAACTTGGTCAGAAACGGAAACAAAATCATTGCGAGAAGGATATTTAAATGAACAGGTCGTACCTGACCAAAATCAAACGATAGATTTTGCCAATCGAAAAAACAAAAGCGTTTCAACTCAACAAATACAAGGTGAATTTGTTAAAAATATGGAAGATAGCTACACTAAAATCAACAAAGGTAGCGAAACGGAACACGCGACAAATTCTATAGTTAGTACTGGCCAGACGAGAATTTAACAAGAGAGAACTCAATTGACTCTTTAATGTTTATTGTCGATGACACAAGAACAGGTCAGAAGCGAACAAGAACGCTTTGAAATACCACCTGCGTCTTATTCCCATCTGACTCTAAAAGTATCAGGAAAGAAGCGGGAAGTGATTTTAAAGAAGAGATACTAAAGGATTTCATAAAGGAGACTATACCTGAGACTCCCGTTCGTGTTTGTAAAGAAAATCTGAAAACAGAAAGAAGCGCCGTGCATTCTGTGAGTGAATATGTTGGGCCAGATCTCAAAACAAACCATGAAATAAAATTAGTAGAGCAAAATATTAAACAACACGACAACGAACAAAACTCGAAAGAAAATGAGATATTTAAAATCCGTAAAAAGTTAATCAAACTGTTGACGACAAATAAAATTCCAAAATGCACAATGGTTAAATATAAATTTGAAAGCAACCAGCTTCCATCTTTCGCTGAAACATTTTGTCCAGATTTCTTTAAAGAGCAAAGAAAAGATGATAGGGATATTGAACTTCCAGAAGTTCTACTTTGTGGCATTGAGGTGTCAAAGGAAAAGAATAAACAGATGTTCACAATTTTATCAGAAACCGATTCAGAGGGTGAATCTGGTGAACTTACGCAAGACAATAAACTTAGTCAACATAAAGAGCAAGATTCATCACAATCCTTGAGATCCTCGGACCAACTGAAATTGAACATTAAAGCAGAGGCGATGGAAACAGACACACAGATATCTAACAACAGCTGCAACAGGACTCAAAATGGAGACACTCCTTCAAGTATGCTAGCAATAGATGACGAGCTGGAAAAATATCTGGTCTCAAGTATTGTATTAAATGAAACGACCGATGACAACTTCTCTCAATTGCCAGATTTATCAAATAACATTGGATCGCTCCTAAGATCTGAAGGACTAAATGATGAAAATATCGACTCTGTTTACCGAAATTTATTTACAAAACCCGAATTGCATATGGATGATGGCATGAGAATTTGTAAACATGAACAAAATACAGATGTGAAACTGCCAGAAACGTCCAGTAATTTTGAAGGAAACGTGCTTGATACTGCGTTATCAAGCGCCGAAAGTCAATGGCAAATTTCACAAGACAATATGAATATATTGTATGGAAATATCTGGTCTAGAAATGTTGCTACAGAAAGCTATATTTTGAATTCGAGACATTTTCCCAACAATATGTTTCAGACGAATGATCCGTTCATTACCAGCAAAGAGTTCAAATCCAGTTTACCAGAAGATCTGATGCAAACCGACATTGATCCATTTAAATTGAATAACTTAGTCCCTAAAGTCGAAGTCGTCGACTCGTCTTTAAATTATGGTTTCTAAGCTATAGGCTCATACGAGAGCCTGGGTTTGTGCAAGTGTATCACGACTTCCCAAAGATTGAAATAGCATAAAAGCACTATAGGCAGCCCAGTTATTAATGCTTTTGATTTTAAGTGAATCGTGATGGCAAACGCTTTCGCGAGCGTCACACTCAACCGTGATAAAATCCACACGCGAATTCTTTTTGAGATTCATTTTGAAAGTAAGAGCATCAATAACTGGGCTGCCTATGATTGTACAGCTGGAGAGAGCGTCCTGGCAGCCTGATTTCCGTCGATGTCTTTTCATTCGTGGAAGATATAAAGGTTGAACCAGTTGCTATAGTCATAGGTGGCTAGGAGAGGCGGGGACGTTTCAGACGGACCACGTATTCTGTTTGCATCTCACAAACATGTGTACGTCCGAAACGTCCGCGCCTCTCCACATTACACATACAGTAAACTCTCACCACCGGTGCCAAAAATTTTTGGAGGAGAGTGTTTAAAAGACGAACTACACGAGGGATCGACCTCGTGAGGACAGAGGAAGCTGAGAAGAGACAACTCTCACGAAGTGCAAGAATATTTTTCGAAAAACAGGTCTGGAACCTACCTTAGCACACTATTTATTGCACATTGGACGAGTATTAAAAAAAAAAAATGTGAAGATATTGTGCGATAACAACCCCTTGAATAAATGTGTTTTGTTTTACATTTTCAAGATGTCTTCGTTTTCCCGAGATTAAATAACTGGTAATCCGCAAGTAAATATACGAATGATACTGTTAAAGGAATGAATAATAACTTGTATCTCGTCCATAGATATAATATCTATGATATCATCCATTTTACGATAGAATAAATTATGTCTTTGCTTCGTTAAAGGCATAAATTAAAATCATGGCCAGAAATGCAGGCCAAAATGGCCGCCAAGCATGCGTGACTTAGCCTTATATTATGAAGCGTTATTAGGGTCATAATTCAAATTTATATTATATTATTCTTGCACTCAACTTATGTTCATTTTAACAAGTGCTATTATTTAAGATTTAATGCAATTTTAAATAACACAATTTGAAATTAAATAACACAATTTGAAATTGAATAACATAATTTGAAATTGAATAACATAATTTGAAATTGAATAACATAATTTGAAATTGAATAACATAATTTGAAATTGAATAACACAATTTGAAAATTCCTCAGATTTCCTAGCCTACAGATTTCCCTAACATCCCATAGCAGTTACAACATACTTACACGAAGTATCGGGATCGGACTATTGGGAATGAAAAGTTGAAAACGTCGTTCCTGACGTTCCATTTATAGTTATTTGATTAGATCCATTGATTAGATCATAGAATTTTACAAATTAGATATTTATTATTGAAAATGAATCGAATGGCTGAAGAACCTACATTGATTAATGAATTGGTGAGATATATTAGTGAAGTGATATTTGTGATTGGGCAAAATGGAAGTGATGAATATGGAAGTGATGGAACAGATTTTGCTAATTTTCGTCTTGACTATCTCAGCAGTATTGTTGCTCGCTACGTGGATGAACTAAATTTCGGCGATCAAGTGTTAAATAATATTCAACAAGCTAGGGAGTTACTCATTCAGGGAGAACGAGATCTGCCAGTGTTTTATGAAGCTCCATCTGTGGTTCCTATAAGTGGTCAACGTGGTAGACCCCGTTTTGAAATTAGCCGGGAACAGCTAGAATTCTTTTTAGAGCAAAATTTTACGTCGAGAGAGATATCATGTTTAATGGGTGTAAGTGAAAGTACTGTAAAGAGAAGAATTCGCGAGTTTGGAATCAATATCAGAGATGGTTATTGTGAGTTTCATGATGAGCAGCTGGATCAACTAGTTTTACAATTTTTGACTGACTTCCCCAATTCCGGATACAGACGTATGACAGGATTTTTGCTTTCTGCTGGACACAGAGTTCAACAGCATCGTGTCAGGGAGAGCATGCGAAGGGTAGACCCCATTGGCGTCTTTTTACGTGCCCTTGAAATTCGGACTGTCAGAAGGAGGAGATATCAAGTGCCTGGCCCACTAGCACTATGGCACATTGATGGAAATCATAAACTCATCAGGTAAGTTCATCTCTGTCCATGTGTTTTGAATAAAGCTTCACTGCAATTGGATAAGTAAATTTTCCAATGTTTAGATTCATAAGGTAATTGATGTTGTACTGGGTTATTCATGTTTTGTCTACTATTGGATCAATGCCTGAGCTGTATCAATCTAATGTTCAAATGTCATTTCTGATTTTAGATGGCGCTTTGTTATTCATGGTGGAATCGATGGATACACAAGAATGATTGTGTTCTTGAGATGCTCAACGAACAATAAGGCATCCACTGTTTTGGAATTATTCCAAGAGGCTGTTCAAAAATTTGGGTTACCTTCAAGGGTAAGATCAGATAAAGGCGGGGAGAACATGGATGTTGCTATGTACATGTTAAGCCATCCATTAAGAGGTCCTAATAGAGGAAGCCACATTGCAGGGAGAAGCGTTCACAACCAGCGCATTGAAAGGCTTTGGCGTGACTTGTTTTCCGGTTGTGTTCATGTGTTTTATCATTTGTTTTATGACATGGAGCAACATGGAATTCTGGAACCTTCAAATGAAGTACACTTGTTTGCACTACATTACACATATCTACCACGCATCAACCAGAATTTGAGTATATTTGTTCAGGGCCATAGTAGAGCACCACTAAGTAGTGAAAGAGGAAAATCACCATTGCAATTATGGATTCAAGGTTCAATGACACACAGTAATCGGGCAATTGATGAGCAATGGAGTATGGTAAGTCTTACTCATAAGGCTCTCATCCACTCATTGCAAAAACTTATCTATTTTAATGAGATGAAAGCACTTGCAGCGAGCTTGTTAGTCCATTTTGCAATGAGTGGAAAAAAGCCCTAATCCTATACTCACATTTACCAGGGGCAAATTTTCAACATTTCACTGTCAATATCACTTTCTAGGAAGACAATGAGTACTATGGAGTTGATTGGGATGGACCAGTCCCAAATAATGAAGATTTGAATGTGTCCTCTAATGCCATTGAAGTTCCTGTTACTAGCATTCCAATTTCTGAAGAAGCCTATTTTCTTTTAAGAGAACAAATTGATCCATTAAGATACAGTGAGTCACATGGTGTTGATATTTATTTAGAAGTATTGTCTTTCATAGCAAATTAATATAAATTTCCACTAATATTCAGTGTCATTGTACATCATTGTCATCTCAAACAAAACAAGTTATCAATCATTATTCACATATCTCTATATTCTTCCATATCCAGCTTGTAGGAAAGTGTTGAATCGAATGCTTTCTTATAATCTTCATAATTGTTGTGAGCGGTTGGGAGTGTGATGATTGCAGTACAGGAATCAACATCTGGCAACTTTACTTCCTTTTTGCCAAATTTAACAGTTAATGATTTTGTTGGTGGTAGTGGGTCACCATAGATAAACTGCACCAGCTTCTCCAAGGTCGCTTGGTGAGGGGAATCTGAACAATTAATTAAAAGTTGTATACCATATTTCTTAATGACGTTTGAGATATTCTAGCTCTGACCAACATATTTTTAATAGCAGGAGTTCAGCTATCAGACTTAGGCCACAATGGTTAAAATTGCAACAGCATTCTTCAATTTTTTATCTGAAGTCTGTATGTTCACATTTTTTAATCCTGAATCCCATTTCTAAAACCTTTCTAAAACCTCATACAACTACAAAATTGTTTTGCTACATTTCTCAAGCACTTGAATGAATTTCATTTCAGAATTGCTGTGAATTATACCTGTTTGTGAATCTTTAAGAACTTCATTAATGTATCTTTTAAACCAACACAGTGATTTATTTTCCTCTTCACTGAGCTCCTTCAGGTCTGACTTCAATTTTATTTTCTTAAGCAAGTCATCAGGAACAACATTGATTTCCTTCTGATAGGAAAACGCTTTACTAATGTGGATCGGGTTTTCTTTCAGGAATGTTGCCAACCCCACAGAATTCATACCCCTTCGAATATCATTCAACTCTGCAATCCGCATTTTCAAAACGTAAAATATCAAAATATCTTGAACAGCCTTTTGTCTATTTTCAAGGGTAAGCAACTTGTTGACAAACCCGCTTGTAAGAAGAAGGTTCATAACTTCATCAGACATGGTCAACATTTCCAACTCTTCTTTATCCGCAGTCATCACCTAAGAAAAATTATGTAGTAAAATGTTTCACAGATTTCAAACTAAGCGTTTTTCTATGCTATAACTACACAATAATTCATCCATAATAACATGCAAAATATATATCTATTGTGTTACAAACCCTGTGAAGGGTATCTTTGATGATCAAATCAGGTAGATCATCAAATGTAATTTGGGGAATTCCTTCCTCAATTGAGCCTGTTATGATATAGGTAACAACTGGCATAGCCATTCCTACGAATGGGAATCCTTGATGTAAAAATGAATGGGCTATCATTCTTCCTGCATAAAAGAATAGATTAGACTCAACAGCTTCAGTGGAGTGCAAAGGTAAGAGATGGTCAGGTTTCCCCTCGAACATAGAGATTCGCAAGTCACCAGACATCAATGTTTGCATTGTTAGATGAAAATATTCCTTTGTAGGACCAGACGCATCCATTCCTTCTTCACCAATGAATTCAACATCTGGCTTGTGACATATTTCCAGTCCCCTTTTATGCAATTTGACTTGATCAGCTAGGAATGTTGTTGATTTGCGGTTAACTGAGATTAATTGATGTCGCCTTTCCTTGACAACTCTTGACAAATAAGACTCTAAGGAATCTCCTACAGACATATTGAACATACAATGCATTAAATAATGCTAATTTTTTATAGTAAAAAGAAAATGCTTGTTTGAGAATATATATGGGCTAGGATGTTCATGACAAAGCACCTCTTACTAAAAAGAAGTTACACATTCAACTAACCTTCATTTAAGTTGTCTGTAATAAAAATTTCATCATCTTCATCACTCCCCAAAACTTCTTCTACTGTAAATGTAGTGGAGCATATTTCAATATTTATTGCTAGTACTAATTCTGAGCACAATAATTATAGGCATAAATTATTTGGAATAAAGATAATTATATAGTTTTGTAAAATAACAGTATTCATGAAAAGCTCTATGTTAATTCTTGTTCAACATGACATCTGTGCATGACATGTGTAGCATGGGCTCATTTCATGCAATGCCATCATTTTAGCTCAAATGAGCTTTTTATCATAAAAAATATTGATTAGACAAATGGATATAGTTATCATGATAACTCTGAATATTGAACATTGATAGGAGAGAAAATTATGTAAATTGTATTTATTTTCAAAACAGTCAATATACAGGAAGAGCATCAATATTCGTACCATCTTTTAAATCAGCCAGCTGTGATGCTGCTAAACTTAGATCACCATTTGATGCATTGTAAAGTTTTGTAATCAGTTCTTTCCGAATATTTGGGAAAAGATCCTCTAATTTCTTAACTTCAGTGATGGCCTAAAAAGTTAAGTAATATATGTTAGTTAATTAAGTTACAATTTATTATGTGAGTTACAATTTAATATATAATCAATATATCATATATCTTATATTTCTCATGCATACAACCTTGCTTGTCCCAGGTTCATCTGTTACTTGAAGAACATTGCTGCCAGAATCTGAAGATGTCTTAGCAAATACTTGAGGCTGCTTAAAAAAAACATTCATAAGTTATAAGGATAAGTTACAAATACCATAATTGGCAAATTTCCTTTAGGTTGTACAAAATATTGAAATTTACCATTGGTGATGTGCTAAAGTCAACAGTACTGGATGGTCCACCAGGGCACTCTTGGCTGTGCTGGGCCCATTTTAGGACAGGAACCTTTGCCTTACAGTCTACACATTCAATTTTTAAAACATCATCCCCATCAAGATTAATCTAAATATATATTGAATAACTATATGAGGTTCTGAACTATTGTTACTTTTTAAGTTGCTGTAGGGGGGGATGTGCTGCAAGCTGTGGCCATGCCCTTTTCCCGAATGGGCGTGGTCCCAGATTGCAGCCCCCCAATCCAAATTTCCTTGCGACAGGCCTGCACGTACTAAATGGAGGAAAAACTGTACAGTTTTACATAAATGAAACAAACAACTGTACCTCTTCCGCTTGATTGAAAATTTTGCTTAGATTTCTCTGCAATGGCCTTATATAAGCAAGTGCTTGACCAAGTCCAGAAGAATCCCTCAAAAAGGGAACCGAATACCCCGTTGGCGGAGGTTGAATTACAGTAAGGGAGCTACTGTGACCTCTTGATCCCGTGCGGAGAATTTGAAAGCCACCTGCTTCTGACAACTTTGGATAAACTTCCAGTAGCTTTTCTTCCAGCTTTGAGTGGTCTGCTTTTGACGGGAGGCATAATTTCTTGCGACCGAGACCACAATTTTGCAACTGTATTTTTTCAGATCTGGAAGGAACATTGGTCTGATTTTTTTCACTAAGACAAAAAAATTCATGAGTCCAAGTTTCTTTGACCGCGTAATACGGTTTATAGCTGATCGTTTTCGGGCGTTGAGCGCGTTGGTAAGCCGAAGCCGGGGATATTCTTGTTCGGGCATACGGTGAAAATATAGTACGTAGATGTTGTAGCGTTGACGGTGGCGTAGTTGATGGTGGCGTACTTGACGGCAACGTAGTGGAAGGCGACGTTGTTGACGGCATAGTTGACGGTGTGGCCGCGGTAGACGTGCTTGTTGGGCTGTCAGTGTTAGAAGAAACGAGCAACATCGTCGCCTCGTTTAGTAACTCAATCGCTCTTTGTGAATTTTTGTTTTCGTGTGTGATTTGAGGCGACGAACCTGGCGCAAAATCTTCTGCCATAACGATATTTGTATTTTTATTTGCATATACGCAGAAATATTTGCAAAGACAGAAACACACGTGGTAACGTTAAGGCAATTGGCGAAAACCCGCGAGAAATAATGCCTGGAAACGAGATTGCCGAAGACGATTTCGCGGGCTCAGGGAACGGCAAAATTAATAAATTATGTTATTCAATTTCAAATTATGTTATTCAATTTCAAATTATGTTATTCAATTTCAAATTATGTTATTCAATTTCAAATTGTGTTATTTAATTTCAAATTGTGTTATTTAAAATTGCATTAAATCTTAAATAATGGCACTTGTTAAAATGAACATAAGTTGAGTGCAAGAATAATATAATATAAATTTGAATTATGACCCTAATAACGCTTCATATTATATAGCACTAATTGGAAATTCAATATGGCGTCGCGCCTAAGAATTGATGGCAGAATCATTCAGATTTGCTCTTTGTTTTACTTTGTCGAAGTCCAAAACATCATCAATTTTATCGATCTTTAAACACTGAAAATGTAAGGGCAACTCGAGATGCCCAAATATGCTCCCGCCGGGAAAGAATATTTTCCCGATTGAAATTGAATAAGAAAGTATTTATATACTCCAGGCATATTAGGTACCTTACAGATCAAATTTCTGCTTGTTGTTGGCCTGCATCACCAAATATCCACGTCCAAGATGGTTCGTAGAGACTCTTGCTTTATGCACATCGCATTTTAGAAGCTTAAAAAGACGCGTAAATGTGTTCTCCAACGCGATGAAGAACACCAACTTTTGAACGCCATTACATTCTTTTTCAGCTGTTGCATGATACAAGTGACACTGGTCTAAATAATGCACTGAAAAACTGAACCGCATGAACCCACACACCTCACCGCTGGCCGGCCTGCATTTACTTGATTATGGTGGTCCACTATACAATTTTTTTCTTTAATTTTATAAAATATGAAAATATGTTCATGCCATATTGCAAGCAAACTTGCTCTGAGTGAAAAAAGCCTTGTAAGAGTCTTAAAGCATTATTTACCCAGACCAGACACACCCAATGATGCAAAATAGAGGAATTTTGTAAACACGTTAATTAACTAGGTTTTAACTTTAGAAAGACGGAATTGGTGTTATTCAGTTCTAAATATGTTTGCTTCGGAGCTGAACTAGAATAAATAAAACCTATTCAGTATTAAACATTTTGCTATTAGAAGCATAAAAAGGCATCTCTTATCTTTTTGATTGATCAAATACGATTTTACAAACGTATGCGCATGCGCTGCACAAAAATTCCATGCGCGAGCATTGAAAAGGCTTTAAAATGAATTTTATTAAATGAACATATTCAATTACTGGTACTCGGAGATAAAACAGTGTAATATAAACAGTAAAACGTCTAATAGCTGAGTTTCAGTCACGTGACAAATTTAGCACTTGGTGGTGAACTCCAGATGGAAAAATATTTATCAAATCAAGTAAAATATTCATTGTAGGTTTTAACCTAATGTTGAGTAGATGTTATGTACAATTTAACCAAATTTGCTCACTTCCACAAGGCATAATTCGGCAATATTTGTGAAGTTGACCACCAAGTGTTTCTCTATGTATTAATCTTGAGTGAAATCCACCTATGTACATTTTAATTAATTCATTATTCCATTTAAACATAACTACAAGAGTTACTTTGGAGCGTGTGTTGCAGACTGAAATTGTGAGGAAAAAAAAAAATAAATTTACATTTTTCGTTAAACGGGTGAAATGTGTCTGGCGTAAATGTTTTTAGTCCTCTAGAAGCTCGTTTTTATTTTAAAAGGTGTTGGGACGAATTTTCATCTCCGTCTTTTTCAGAGTGTAGTATGAATTTTTCCAATTGTACCAGGTTATTCCTTGAGTAGAAACCTGTCCTGAACTCAGGTACTTCCCATTGAGGTTGGATGCATGACAGGCTTTGTACCACCAAGCTCCTTCATAATACGAAGCGCAATTGCTTTTCCAAGCATCATTGTCACTGTCCTTTGTAGTGAACTGCATTTGATTCTGATACGCAAGAGAGTCACCTGCGTTACCTTTGAAGAATATAAAAAAAATTCCACGGTAAATAACATTCTCTGGGTATTTTTATCCGGAATCGTTTTACGCCGTTAAATTCAGCCTTGAAAAAATAAATTATCATGAACTATTTCCAATAGGTATTTCAATAGCGAACGGGGGAAAATTATTTTCTTTCAAAATGACAAATTATTTTCTTTCTTAAACTTCTTCCACTTCACAATGGTACATTATGGGATTATGAGACATTATGGCACGGACATTATGGGATATAATGAAAATAGTGGAATAACTTTTTTCCATTTTATACTAACAGGCAAATGTGCTCACTTTAGTTTCTCATGACAATAAATACAACATAAATAATTAATGCTATTAAATACTAATTATCATAATTAATACTTATTTATACTAATCTAATTATAATTAATCATAATTAATCATAATTAATCATTTTTATGCATTTAATAAGTAGCGCAATTTAAGGCGCATGCTCATGATATCTTTACGGAAACTAAAGACATGAATAAAATCTTTGTGCCACGAGCGTGTTCGAATAAGTTAAACAGATGAGAATCTAAATTCAGGCACAACGCATGCGTATGGTTTACCTGAGTAACCTCCAATGTTCAATCTGTATTTGTCTGATTCATCAGCCACACTAAACTCTGCATATTTGGCATAAGCTTTAGCGCCATTGAAATCCATCAAATCAACCCTTAAAACATTTTGGCCAGATTTCGTTAAACGGTGTATTTTATCAAGACCCAACCAGAACTCGTCGTTAAGATCACCAAAGCCTGCTTTATAGTCTGACCATCCCAGGTAGAAATCTTGGCTTCCATCTTGTCTTCTTTGAAACACGGTCCAGCCACCCCCGTCTGTTGTCATATCACAACTGACGTTGAACGATCCGAGGCCATCGGGATCAATCGTATAAACACCGTCTTCTTTCACTCCTGATTTATAGAGATCAGCACAACTTTTTTTGACAATAACTGCACAAACGGAAAAATATGAAATATCAAAATATTAAAGTTTTTCCGGTAGTTGAGCAATTTATACGCGGGAATGCGAATGACAATATATTCTTTCGCATAGGAGTTTTGTTCTTTCATTTAAGCCATGCAGTTCTTAGGATATATTTTTCCGTCGGTAACAACCTGGTAACCCTGTACTATTGCTACTAATTTTAGTAAAGCATACGCTCCAATATAACCAGGGCGCAGCGTGGCAGCGTCCTCAAACAACTTGGCATCAAATGTGGTATAGCAACTGCGTAAAATAGACAAAACATTTCTCGACGTTTCGACCTGGGGGCCTTCGTAACTAACTCTCCTGACGAAGGCCCTCAGGGCGAGACGTCGAGAAGTGTTTTGTCTATTTTAGGCAGTTGTTATACCACATTTGATGCGTAGTAAAACATAACTAACTCGCATGATGATGTTACCTTTTTTTTCACACATAATTCCATGCGCTTGTTTTAACTTCTGAATGTCGCGTTTTATGTTACCACAGCATGATTCATAGCGAGGATCGTGTTTTGAACACAATATGTCCTGAGCGAGGTTAAGATTCTCGATATCAGATTTGATTTCATCACAGCAATGCGCTCCTGTGCAGCCAGTTTGGAGAACAATCTGGAACAAAATCACCACCAGAGGAATTCTCAACATTATCAGGTCTCGAAATTCACAATTAACCGCCCAAGTAGAAATCAACTTGATCTGACTGAGAACAGAGTTAAGCTCTGGTTAATTTATACAAGAGCTATGTGCATGACGACGTAAACTTTGTTGTCATTTGGCTTTCCGGGCTCTTTTGAGGTCTGGTTCGCGTTTCCTGCATGTCATTTTCAAAGTATGAACTAAACAAAGAAGCAGAGGCCGCTGAAAATCGTTAAGTGGTGGGGTGGAAGGCAAATATTTATATATTCGTGCTAAAATGCCGAGCGCGAATAATTTATATTATATTTGCCTCTTACTTAATGACCTTTCGCAGCCTGTGCAAAAAACAATATTATTCAGATCTTAGATCACACGTTGCATGCATTCTTTTTAAACGAGCATGGGAACATTGCTTTTATCTTCCCATCAAAACCACTTGTTAATTATCTACGCGCAGATTTACCGTTTATTTACTCTCTAACAAACAAAGACTGATCCTGCAACAGCAATACACATGTACAGGCACATGTAAATTCACCGGATGCCTGAAACGAACTTAGTGGGCATCAAGATTGACAAAGTCAAACACTGCATGGTTCATTTCTACCAAATTTGTGTGCATGGGAAAGTTAACTTTGCACTTCTTTTACCCCTGATATTTTAAGTCTCATTTGCATTATCTAGATTGTCTCTTTCAAAGTATGATTTAAGGGATCACTGTTCACATAAATCTCTTATTTAAGGAAGCGTAAAAACAGTTTGAGGTATTGAAATGAGTAAATAGCATGATGTTGGTAGTGATGTAGCCTGCCCTGTACTATAAGCAGAGACTACAGTGAATTTTTCCCTGGCAAACGAAGACATCGCGCAAACGTAAAACAAAACGCAATTCAATTGACGATTCTGGAATGTGAGTTGAATATATCTCGTGGTAAAAGGACAGGCCCGTTGACCATGCTAGCTTCAAAACGTGCGCTAAGAGGATATATGGTTAAATACCAAGAGCGTGAAGAAGTGTTGGTACTTGAGACGAAGGACAAGACTAAAGTCTAAACTTTGGTTTATCCACCGTTTGAGCTAAACGCCTTTCAAACAACCGGCCCCTGTTGACAAATCTGTATGCATGCATGCAACTAGATAACGCACGTATACTACAGGAGATTTGGTTGAATACTAAGAAGCGTGAAGAAGTGTTGGTACTTGAGACGAAGGCCATGCAAGGCCAAACTTATGTATTATGACCGGATCCAAAGTTGACAATGTAAAGTTCTTTAATCAAGTCGCGCCCTTTCCAAACAGTGAACTTTTCATGTGCCGAACCGAATGCAAATAAATTATAAGCATTCGTTTAAACAAATACACTAGCTAATAGACCTTTCTTCTTCAAGCGCACAATGCGAGACAGTACTGGATTATCAAGCGACTTTGAGTAGCGATATCGCTCTGCTTAGAAGCGATTTGCTTGTAAGAAAACCTTGCCGATAATTTTTGTTTTTTTAAAGCTAAATCGCTTCTGATGGCTAAATCGCTTCTATGGCTAAAAGCGAAAAGGGGAAAGGTCTATTAACATTATGTTTGGCATGTAAATTTCGACGACTGAAATTCTGATTCCCGGCGAGTTTAAGTGGACATTAACATTGAGATTAAATTAGTCAAGCTTTGGTTGAATTACGCCAAAGAAATGTGCATAAGATTTCTCTCCTCTGGTATTCTTCTTTCACTTTCAAATTCCCGTCTGGGTTTTCTATATGTGCATTTAAAAGAATAAAGTTTTACATATTGACATGTCTTGATCCATGTCTTTATCCATGTCTTGATCCTCTGCCGAGATTTAACGAAGCGTAAAACGGCTTGAGGTTAATATTGAAATCAGGCTATAACATGATCCTATAGTCGTGTAGTTATCCTAATAATGCCATGCATGTGCTTCTTTTGTTTCATAAAGATATATAATTTTAATATCTCAAAATCATCTCACGCTGGTAAAAGGGCTGGTTGGTCATACTGGAGAAGATTTGGTTGAATACACCAAGAAGTGCGTTTACGTGTGAAGTATACGTGTATTCTCGACTGAGTTACATATTGATATTATACAGTCTCAAATCAAATCTCAGTTAATAAATCTCGGTTAAGCGGGAGCATGTGAGCAGTCATAAGTCTCTTACTTCATACTTTAAGAGACATTAAGGTAACGCAAACGAAACTTTTAAAGTCGAAGAAAACCAGAAAAGAGCAAAGTTCACTTTCCCATGCACAACGCTTTGGCATGAATTGACCAGAGCTTGAGACCTCAAACTTTAAAGGTCCGTTCACACGATCCACCTTTGTCAGATCCAATTCACCTCTGACGTATGGAATGTAGTTTGTTATTGATAAATCAGTACTGTAATCATCGCTTTAGTTGATTTGCTGCCCATATACATTGCAAGTAACATAAAACATCTTTCAAAAAGTGCCATTAGATCGACAAAATTTGATCGTGTGAAGAAACCTTAACTTTGATGATCCGGATCTTAAGGACCCATTTATTTACACTATGCAATTCGTCGTATACGATTCGTACTTTGGCGTATGTGAACGTATGAACACACTACAAACGTGCACTTTAAATTCCAACCTGAACAAAACTGAATAAAGATTGTGGCATAGGCCCTCTTTGGCATTCGTCAGAATGATAATTGCATACAACTTATCGTGTAATCTAATATGTAACTTAACGTTAATGAGCTGAAGCTTTGTTGAAGTTTATTTGCATTTAGTTCGGCACATGAAAAGTTGGAATTTGGCCGGGAAAGGACCGGACTTAATTAAAGAGCTTTACATTGTCAACTTTGGATCCGGTCATAATACATAAGTTTGGCCTTGCATGGCCTTCGTCTCAAGTACCAACACTTCTTCACGCTTCTTGCTATTCAACCAAATCTCCTGTAGTATACCTGCGTTATCTGCCTACATGCATGCATATAGCATTGTCAACCAGGGGCAGGTTGTTCGAAAGGCTTTTAGCTCAAAAGATGGATACACAAAAGTTTACAAATACTCAAATTACAAAAATTATAGATCTTGGGTATTGCTGAACTTGTATCTTATGCATTAAATATGTACTTTCATTGAAAATTAAACTATTTACATCGAAATGTTTCCGCTCAGTTGTTCAATAAATAAATAATTTTGCTTTCCATATTTAGCTTATCCACCTTTTAAACTAAACAGCTTTCGAAGAACCGGTCCCAGTCCATTTACACTACACTTTGTTTCGGGGCTGCTGTTCACTTGAGCATTGCATGTTACCTGAGATTTGCAAAGTGTGAGATGATTTTGAGATATTAAAATATGGCTTTATGAAATAAGCATATGGAAATATTAGGTTAACTACACGACAACTAGGATCAAGTCATAGCCCCATTACAATAACCTGAAGTGGTTTAATTAATGTTTCGTTAATCTCGGCTGAGGGATCATGTGAACAGCCCTAATTCACTCTTTAAAATAGACATATAGCGGAAAACCCAGAGGAAAATTTGAAAGTGAAAGAAGAAAACGAAAGGAGAGAAAAGACATTTGTTAGGATTAGCACACGAATACCAGGATCATGATATTTACTCATTTCAATACCTCTGTCATTTTACACTCACTTTCCCATGCATGCACGCAGCTTTGGAATAAATCAACCTGAGTTTGACTCAATACTAAGTCAATCTTAAGGGACCACTTAAGGGTCCTTTCACACGTCACACTTTACACGTGCCGTATAGTGTTGCACGATGTCTTCCTTTGCCTGTGAGTAAGTAACTGGTAAATTTGCACGGTATTTAACAAGCGATGGGAGGAGAAATGTTCTTATACGAATTTAGGAAGAGGTCTGAAAATAATTGTTTCTTTTCATGGGCAGCGAAAGAATGTTGACGGTAGGAAGCAAATAATGCATATATTTATTGGAGTTATCGATTGCACTAAACTGGTTTGATTACTGAAAGAGTCACCACACAAAGACTACATTCAAGACCCACGATAGATTAGTGAATTAAATCTTTATGTAGTGATTACTTGCAATGAATAAACCATGGTAGCAATAATTGCGATGGATTATATGCCGGTTTTAGATTCTTTTGAAATTGATTGTTTTTAAGGTCTGTCAACTCGAATATATAAATATTTGCTTCCCACCCAACCACTTAACGATTTTCAGCGGCTCTGCTTCTTTGTTCAAAACACACTTTGAAAAAGACATGCAGGAAACGCAAACCAGACCGTAAAAGAGCCCGGAAAGCCAAATGACAACAAAGTTCACTTCGTCATGCACACTGCTCTTGTATAAATTAACCAGAGCTTGACTCTGTTCTCAGTTGATCAAGTTGGTTTCTACTTGGACGGTTAATTGTGAATTTTAAGACCTGATAATGTTGAGAATTTTTCTTGTGGTGATTTTGTTCCAGATTGCTCTTCAAACTGGTTGCACAGGAGCACATTGCTGTGATGAAATAAAATCTGATATAAAAAATCTTAAACTCGTTCAGGATATATTGTGTTCAAAACACGATCCACGCTATGAATCATGCTGTGGTGACATAAAACGCGACATTCAGAAAAAAAAACAAGCGCATGGAATATTGTGTGAAAAAGAAGGTAACATTGCGATTTTATTTAGTTAAACTATGATTTTAATCAACTTTCTCTTATAAACACGAAGAACGTTAACAAGCGGAATGTATTGATTTTTTTCAATTGCTAAAGCAATAGTAGAGTGAAAGAGTACAGTTGTTGCATTCCAGCGGAAAAATAAACTCCTTTGCGGAAGAATATATCATTCTGTCCGGTTTGCACTTTCCCGCTACCAAGTCGCTCAACAACCGGAAAGATTTTGATACTTTCTTATCGAAATGACCATTCTGATATTTCGTATTTTTCCGTTTGTGCAGTTGCCAAAAAAAGTTGTGCTGATCTCTATAAATCTGGAGTGAAAGAAGACGGTGTTTATACGATTGATCCCGATGGCCTCGGATCGTTCAACGTCAGTTGTGATATGACAACAGACGGGGGTGGCTGGACCGTGTTTCAAAGAAGACAAGATGGAAGCCAGGATTTCTTCCTAGGATGGTCAGACTATAAAGCTGGCTTTGGTGATCTTAACGGCGAGTTCTGGTTGGGTCTTGATAAAATACATCGTTTAACGAAATCTGGCCAAAATGTTCTAAGAATTGATTTGATGGATTTCAAAAGCATCGAAGGTTATGCCAAATATGGAGAATTTAGTGTGGCTGATGAGTCAGACAAATACAGATTGAAGATTGGAGATTACTCAGGTAAACTACACGCATGCGCTGTGCCTGAATTTAGATTCTCAGGGAATCTCAGCTGTTTAACTTATCCGAACACGCTCGTGCGGCTCTTAAACATTTGATGAATCTCATTGGTTTCAGTAAAAATATCACGAGCATGCGCCTTAAATCACGCTACTCATTCAATGCATAGAAATATATGATATATGAAATAAAAGATACATGAAATAAAAACTTGGATTAACACGACAAATTTTCTGTTTAACCATTGTCGTGGTTATTGTTTTAATTATTTTTATGACAAAACCGGAGCATACTTGCCTGTTAGCATAAAATTAAAACAAAAATTATTTTCACTATTTTCACTGTATATCCCATAATAACGCGCACTAGGGTGGCAAATTCAATATGTACTATTTAAAATACGAGCGGCCGATCTGTATGGGTATTTACAATCGCGAGCGCGTAGCACGAGCCATTGTAAATCCCATACAGATCGGCTGCGAGTATTTTAACGTGCTTGTGAAATGAATAAATTAAGCTTAATGCATATTAGGGCATGTGTGTAACAAAGTTATGAATACTAATTAAGATTGGTTGTATCAAAGTTAACTTATTAATTAACAATTCATGAGACCTTTATGGAGAATTACAGATGAACACATGTGACCAAAATACTGCTTAATGATTGCAACTTAGACTCACTTGTGGAACTACAAGTTTGAGATAAAAAAAACATTATCTGGATAAATATTTTGCTACAAACTCTTCAGAAGGAAAAACAGTGTATGTAATGTAAGTTGGTCTGGCATTGAAAATGGTTAGTTAATAATCAAAGCTGAGTTTTCACAAAACAACAAGTCGCCGGTAAAACGATTCTGGATGAAATGAAACCTCCTGTTATGCCATGACAAAGAGATGTTCTAACTTAGAAAATTTGAACGGAATTGTTTTGCTTTAAATTGTCACTAACGGAAGATTTTTTATTATTTTCTTCAGCAATAAGTAACGCGGGTGATTCTCTTACTTATCACAATCAAATGCAGTTCACCACCAGGGATAGTGACAATGATCTCAGCGATCTCAAGAATTGTGCTAAGCAGCATGAAGGAGCTTGGTGGTACAAAGCCTGCTTTCAATCCAACCTCAATGGAAAGTACCTTGACGCAGGTGCGATTTCGTCTAAAGGAATAGTCTGGTTCGCTTGGGAAAATTCATACTCTTCTTTGAAAGAAACGGAGATGAAAATTCGTCCAAACAAGTTTTGAAATAAAGACCAGCTTCATGAGGACCAAAAACACATTTTAAAGTTGACAATGTAAAGTTCTTTAATCAAGTCCCGCTTGAGGTTAATATTGAAATCAGGCTATAACATGATCGTATAGTCGTATAGTTATCCTAATATTGCCCTGTGCTTGTTTTGATTCATAAAGATATATAATTTTAATATCTCAAAATCATCTCACGCCGGTAAAAGGGTTGGTTGACCATACTGGAGGAGATTTGGTTGAATACACCAAGAAGTGCGTTTACGTGTGAAGTATACGACGTGCGTTCTCTACTGAGTTGCATATTGATATTATAGTCTCAAATCAAATCTCAGTCATAAGTCTCTTACTTCATTAAGGTAACGCAAACGAGACTTTTAAAGTCGAAGAAAACCAGAAGAGAGCAAAGTTCACTTTCCCATGCACAACACTTTGGCATGAATTGACCAGAGCATGAGACCTCAAACTTTGTCGGATCCAATTCACATCTGACGTATGGAATGTAGTTTGTTATTGATAAATCAGTACTGTAATCATCGCTTTAGTTGATTTGCTGCCCATATACATTGCAAGTCACATAAAAACATCTTTCAAAATGTGAATTGGATCGACAAAATTGGATCGTGTGAAGAAACCTTAATTTTGATGATCCGAATCTTAAAGACCCATTTATTTACACTATGCAATTTGTCGTATACGATTCGTACCCTGGCGTATGTGAACGTATAAACACACTACAAACGTGGACTTTAAATTTCAACTTGAACAAAACTGAATGAAGATTGTGGCATAGGCCCTCTTTGGCATTCGTCAGAATGATAATTGCATACAACTTATCGTGTAATCTAATATGTAACTTAACGTTAATGAGCTGAAGCTTTGTTGAAGTTTATTTGCATTTAGTTCGGCACATGAAAAGTTGGAATTTGGCCGGGAAAGGACCGGACTTAATTAAAGAGCTTTACATTGTCAACTTTGGATCCGGTCATAATACATAAGTTTGGCCTTGCATGGCCTTCGTCTCAAGCACCAACACTTCTTCACGCTTCTTTATGCATTAAATATGTACTTCCACTGAAAATTAAACTATTTACATCGAAATATTTCATCTCAGTTGTTCAATAAATAAATTTTTGCTTTCCTTTTTGAACTTATCCACGTTTTAAACTAAACGGCTTTCGAAGAACCAGTGACAGCCCATTTACACTACACTTTGTTTAGAGGCTGCTGTTCACATGAGCATTGCATGTTACCTGAGATTTGCAAAGTGTGAGATGATTTTAAGATATTAAAATATGGCTTTATGAAATAAAGCAATCACATAGCAATATTGGGTTAACTACACGACAACTAGGATCAAGTCATAGCCCCATTACAATAACCTAAAGTCATTTAATTATTGTTTCGTTAATCTCGGCTGAGGGATCATGTGAACAGCCCTAATTCACTCTTTAAAATAGACATATAGCGAAAAACCCAGACGAGAATTTGAACGTGAAAGAAGAAAACGAAAGGAGAGAAAAGACATTTGTTAGGATTAGCACACGAATACCAGGATCATGATATTTACTCATTTCAATACCTCTGTCATTTTACACTCACTTTCCCATGCATGCACGCAGCTTTGGAATAAATCAACCAGAGTTTGACTCAATACTGGGTCAATCTTAGGTTAATGCCCACTTAAGGGTGCTTTCAGAGGTCAAACTTTACACGCGCCGTAGTGTTGCACGATGTCTTCCTTTGCCTGTGAGTAAATTTGCACGTAGGTATTTAACAAGCGTTGTGATGGCCGCGATGGGAGGAGCAATGTTCCTATACGAATTTAAGAAGAGGACCACGTGCGACCTGATCTGAAAATAATTGTTTCTTTCCACGGGGAGCGAAAGAATGTTGACGATAGGAAACAAATAATGCATATAATTATTGCAGTTACGGCGCTAGTCTGGTTCGATTACTGAATGTAGTGACCACACAAAGACTACATTTAAGACCCACGATAGATTAGTGAATTAAATCTTTACGTAGTGATTACTTGCATTGATTAAACCATGGTAGCAATAATTGCGATGGATTATATGCCTGTTTTTTCTTTTGAAATTGATTGTTTTTAAGGTCTGTCAAGTCGAATATATAAATATTTGCTTCCCACCTAACCACTTAACGATTTTCAGCGGCCTCTGCTTCTTTGTTCAAAACACACTTTGAAAAAGACATGCAGGAAACGCGAACCAGACCTCAAAAGAGACCGGAAAGCCAAATGACAACAAAGTTCACTTCGTCATGCACACTGCTCTTGTATAAATTAACCAGAGCTTAACTCTGTTCTCAGTTGATCAAGTTGCTTTCTACTTGGACGGTTAATTGTGAATTTCGAGACCTGATAATGTTGAGAATTTTTCTGGTGGTGATTTTGTTCCAGATTGTTCTCCAAACTGGCTGCACAAGAGCGCATTGCTGTGATGAAATCAAATCTGACATCGAGAATCTTAACCTCGCTCAGGATATATTGTGTTCAAAACACGATCCTCGCTTATATGCACTCCCTCCTTAATCATCGTATTTAGTTTCGGCCCTGTTTAAATATATTGTATTCCTTGCTTAGTTCATATTTTAAAACCAGACTTAGGGAAAAGTCCGAAATAATAGCAAAATTCGAGGAAAACGGCGAAATAATAGCAAAGTTCACTTTGGCCCATGCACACATGCAGCTTTGGTATAAATTAACCAGAGCTTCACTCTGTTCTTAATCTAAATGCCCACTTAACTTGATTAAAGAACTTACATTGTTAACTTTTGATCCGGTCATAACACGACACCGCGGAAATTGGTATAGGCTTAGCCGCAATTCTCGATACTTAGACTTCAAACTTGGTGAGGAAAAAGATTTATAAATATTCAAGAAAATATGTCTTGCACAAAAGATTTGAAGCTTGCTCACGGTAAAAACGAATCGTCTGAATTAATAACCTTGTGTATACTTTAGCCTCAAAATAGCCATTTCACAGCGGTCAGATGTGTATGATGAGCTGTCAAAAGATTGCAGAATGCGTATTCAGAAGAAAAATTGAACTTTTTTAAGATATTCAAAAGGTTTCTCTTTGATAGGGCGATACAGAAATGCACAATTGTGAACCAGCGATTAGATTTTCGGGTTGAAACGTTTTAAACACCAATTTCTGCGGTGTCTCATAACACATAAGTTAGGCCTTGCCCTTCTTCTAAGTACTAACACTTCTTCACGCTTCTTGGTATTCAATCATGACGTTTTCCAGCTAGCACGTTTTCCAGCTCTTTTACCAGCAGATAATTTTCAAAAAATATAAGCTAAAATATACGCCGACAGATAAAAAAGAAATCCGTCGGGCAGAACGAATATACGAATATGCTCCCTATTAAATGCTAATTTGGGAAGTTTTGAATTCAATGGACGATAAGCCCTTTTTTAAAGACCGAGTTAACCTATTCTACTTATGGCATTTAGCAAATTATCAATAAAACCCAATTGAAAGCAAGACGCTTTATTTGAATACCTCAACCTAATAACTTTGCTATTTACACACTGCTGCAATGATCATGCATTTAAATTCCGACAAAAGCTTCATTTCAATAATGGCGACTTTTTTGGGACTCCTTGTATAATATAAGATGGAACTTTCTTTTTGTGTAGTGTTTATAAAGGAGAAATCTAGAAAAAGTAAACGATATATGCTGTAAAAGGAGAGGAAATTTTCTTCCCTATCCACACAGCTTTGGTATGATCTGAATATTAATGTTCACTTAAGCACGTTTCTGACCGACGTCTAACTTTACATGTCCCGAACGTAATGTAAATGCTGATGCCTTGATGACCATTCTGACATATTGTTTCCTTTTCCGTTTGTTTAGTTCAAAAAACGTTGTGCTGATCTCTATAAATCAGGAGTGAGAGAAGATGGTGTTTATACGATTGATCCCGATGGCCTCGGATCGTTCAACATCAGTCAGATATGACCACAGACGGGGGTGACTGGACCGTGTTCCAGGAAGAAGTCTTCACTACCATCTTGTCTTCTTTAGAATGGTCAGACTATAAAGCAGGCTTTGGTGATCTTAACGGGGAGTTCTGGTTGGGTCTTGATAAAATAAATCTGGAATTGATGAAATTAAATTTAACACTGTTGAAGCTAGGTTATGCCAAATATGGAGTGTTTAGCGTGGCTGATGAATCAGATAAATACAGATTGAGCGTTGGAGATTACTCAGGTAAACTTTAACATAAGAAAACGTATTCATACACCTGGGGCCGGTTGTTCGAAAGGCGTTTAGCTTAAACGGCAGCAAAGCCAAAGTTTAAAAATACTCTCACATCTTGTGAATCACTGAACCTGCATTGTATGCATTTAATATGTACTCCATTGAAAATTAAACTATTTACATCGAAATATTTCAGCTCAGTTGTTCAATAAATAGATAATTTTGTTTTCCATTTTGAATTTTTCCATCGTTTAAGCTAAAGACCTTTCGAACAACCGCCCCAGAAGGGCAAAACGAGGACTATATTCGATGACGTTTGTCGGTTTACGAAAAGTAACGCCTGTATTAAAAAAGCTCACTCGCATTCACTCATTGAGTGTAACATAAATTTTACGATCGCCGATGAGATAGTCCTTCAACGCTGTTTTCAATAAAAAAGACAACAAATTTTTCCGGAGGACGGTATTAGAATTGAAAATGGTGTTCTTAGAAAATTTGAACGTATTACTACTCTTTGCTTTGAAATTTTGAATATTTTTTCTTATTATATTCATAAAAGGTAATGCAGGTGATTCTTTTACTTATCACAATGAAATGCAGTTCACAACAAAGGATAATGACAATGATATCCATCCATTCAGTTGTGGTAGGCTGTTTTAAGGAGCTTGGTGGTACAAAAGCTGTCTTCAATCCAACCTTAATGGCCTGTATCTGGGTGCAGGTCAGACTGGTACTAAAGGAATAATCTGGTTCACCTGGGGAAATTCATATTCTTCTTTGAAAAAGATGACGATGAAAATACGTCCTAACATGTTTTGAAATATAGACGAGCTTCAGGAGAACCAAAAACACATTTACCCTCATGAACGTCAAGTTTTGAGATTTATTTTTCAATCTTTCAATAAAAAATTTAATTTATTTCTGATTGGTGCTTATCATTTCTGTCATAAAAAAATGCTCCAACGCAACTATAATAATGTTTTAGTTATAGATCATGAACTCATCGCTCACTAAGTAGTTAAGGCCGATCTACACGATGTAATTAGTCGCACACGATTCGTATACTGTCGAATAAATGCGTGTAAAGATGTCACAATTTAAACTTCGTTATAAACTGATGACTGAACAGACTGTGGCGTCACCAACGTTTTTCATACGTCAGGATAAGAATCGTATATGACTAATCGCATCGTGAAGATCATCCTTTACACGTTTGAAACTGTTAATTGTATCGCTGAGTACTAGTAATTGCATATGTACACTCAAAATACTTTTTTTTTAAAACGCAAAGCCGTCTCCATGCAAAAAGCAAAGCCGTCTGCGCATGTGCAGACGTTTTTAAAATCGAATTTGAACCATCAAAAGATTTCAGGGCTCCCCATCGTTTGGTTACGTGATGTATCTTTTAAAGGTGTCTCAGGAAATTTATTAATATTAAATCTTGTTTTCTCTTCGACGGGTGTATCTCTTGGGTAAATCTAGAATGTATATGGGCATATATGGATAGTACTGGCAGGGAAGCAGGCAAAGTCAATCTGCTTGTCCACGCCTACAATTTGCAGTGAGTTAATGCCTGGGAATTATTTCTTATATAGGTGCTGTGTAATTTAAATGTGATTGGTTCATTCGTAGTCACATGACTTTAAATAAATGCAATGTTTCCCGCCAGGGAAACAAGCGAAAAGTTGCCAGCATGCATATTGTCATAACAAAGTGTTTTTTTGAAATGAAATTGTTGTGTAACATGTATGTTTTTGTTCCTATATAACAAAACACTTAATGCACACAACCTCGGGAAATAGTGAATTTTGTTTTCCCTCAATCTCAATTTTTACCTCGACTTCGTCTCGGGAAACATTCAGACTCTTG